TGGAGAAGATTGTAGAGAGAGAGGAGTTACCTTCTAGAGAGAGAGTGGAGAAGTAGAGAGTGAAGGAAGAATGAGGGAGGAGTGGAGTATTTATAGGAGAAGATGAATTTACTATTTCTTGGGAAACGTCCGGTAGCAGCAGAAGCATCAGAAAAACTAGTAACGTTATGTCCAGAAGACACTGAGGTAATTCAACAGACAAAAGCAAAAGGACTGTTCGCGGGGCCYAGTCATCATTGGTCAAAAAATTAACTTAATTGAACGGTTTTTTATGACTGCTAATCACCTGATTAACACAAACCGTTTCGCCACTATTTCTATAGTACCGAGCTGGGGGGCAAACTGTTGGGGTCGAATCTCTCCCTGGAAAAATAAMAGTACTAAGATGGCTAAGTATGAAAACCGCATCGTGGAACCGATGTCGCGACGTCGCGGAACCAATGTCGCGACGTCGCGGTCCCGATGTCACGATGTCGCGGGACCGATGGTACGACATCGCGGTACCGATGTCACAACGTATGCGTACCGCGACCTAAGGCGTCGAGGACGATCGCATACCGCGACCGAAGGTACCGCGGACGATCGCGTACCGTGACGCGAGGATGATTGCGCACCGTGACGCGAGGACGATCGCGTACCACAACGCGAGTGGCGCCGAAGTGGAGGTTTACCGCGACACGACTCCGATGAGGTCCGAAGTGGAGGTTTACCGCGACACGACACCGATGTGGTCCGAAGTGGAGGCTAACCAAGACGTGATTTGGTACCGATGTCACGACAACGTGGTACTGTTGTCACGACGTCGCAGGACCGATGTCGAGTGGTCGTGGTACCGATATCGAGTGGTGGACCGATGTCGAGTGGTCGTGGTACCGATGTCGAGTGGTCGTGGTACCGATATCAAGTGGTCGTGGTACCGATGTCGAGGTCAGTCCGGGAACAAAGATCGCCGGGCTAGGTGGTGTTGGATCGAAATGGGACGAAACAAGGCCCAACAAGGGACCGACACRAGCAACCTAAGGAAGAATGGAAATTGCAAGAGAAAGAAAAGGATTTCCGTTATGATCAAGGAATAGAATAAACCGACTTAGATTACTATATATACTCATGTACAACCCTTAAGAAGGGGATCCRAAAATCGTTACACAGAGACTTATACAATAAAGCTTTCTTAACAGTAAAAGAACAAGTTCCGATTCTCTTTACGTTTGTGTTGGTTTAAC